CCTATGGTGATCAGTGAACAAATGAAGATTAGCTCGTGTTCGGATAGTGGTAACGATTAAAACAATAAGAGGTGCTGTAGTAAAGAGGACAGGAACAGTGAAACAGACGTGAAGGTTATTGTAGATGAAAGTTGATGAGGAGAAAGTGTAAGTGAATCGTCCGTTAGCGTAAAAAGAATTCGCGTTGTAAAGGCCTGGCAAACGATAAAACATAAAGGTGAGAATAAGAATAGCAACCATGATTCGAGAACGTTTTATTGTGCACCATTGACATTGTATAGCATTACGTGAGATGATACAAAAACGATAGAATGCTGACAGGAAAACATACCAGATAGGCACAGGAAGCCAAATATTGATCAAGTACAAACGTGTTTTACATAGAAATACATTCGATGCCATTAGATCGTACTGTAAAACTTGATTTAGAGTACGGAGCATGAGTAATGGAACGATGAGTAGAAAGAGATCAATTAATGTACCGGTCAACATGAAAAGAACGTGGAACATGTCTATAACGCCGTCTAGTAAATAAGTATAGACTGACACAGGATCTGATGATGCCGACAGTAGACAGCCAAAACTCTTCATACATGAATATGTGTCGAGATAGATTGTTGATAAAGGTAGCACTTGCTGACATCGTTTGGATAAGAATGACAAGCGGAGCAAGCTGAGGTGCACAAGAAGGATCTATACTGGAAATAATTTTTTGTCAAACTCTTATATTATGCCGTTCTTTTTTTCTTGCTTCTAAGGTATTTGTGTCTCTCGCGTTCCTGTCTCACTTCCTCAATATGCAGATCAGAAGCCAAAATAAATGAGGGAATTTCGATCCGGACTCGATTCGATTCCATTCGGCTTACGAGGAAAGGTTCGCAAGTGTGACATGCCGTTTTGAATCGGATCTATACTAGTCAGTGGAGCTCAATGAGACTAGACCAACCCTAAAAGGATTTGTCTCCATACGTTCTCCTTCTCGAGTTATGATCGTCTTACTCACTTTTCGACCTTTAGTAAGGTATATATGAGAAAATCGAACCACGGGATTTCGATCTGAAATCGTGCCCATCGATAAGTCTCACGGACCTTAGAATGTCCTAAAAATTTCAGCGCAAAAAAATACTTTTTTCTGGAGATATCGAACGTTGAAGACACTCACTTTTCTGACCTTTCCGTGTGACACATAATTGTTTTTTGGATACCTAATATCTGCAAAATAAAATATTCTTTTGATCTAAAATTTTTAGGACATTCTAGGGATCATGCGACCCATCTATGGGTAAAATTTCAGATCAAAATCTCGTAATTCGGTTCTTCCATATATACCTTACTATATAGGTCGAATATTCAGTAAAACAGTCAGAACTCGAGAAGGATAGTGTATGGGAACAAACTCTTTTAGGCCTCGTCTAGTCTCATCGAGCTCTACAAACTGGTATAGATCCGATTCAAAAGGGCGTGTCACACTTGAAGACCTTCCCTCGTCAAATAGAGCAAAACAATTGCCCTACCTTCCCAATTGACATGTATCTGTCTCACAAAGTATGCTATCTTTTTGTGTTTCTGTACGTCTCTTATTTAAAAAATATTTAGGAAGTACACAATTTAATTCAAATTCGTCCTTTTTTTGGCATATTTGTTAGAAAGTTCATCAATTTCACAGAGGATTGAAGAAGAAATAATATGTATAGAATGCATTATAACATGGGAGTGATCCGATCGGTTGCTTGTTCTACTCGATTTTTAACACAAAACCTCTGATCTAAATCGATTAGCATCGCACTAATTGTTCTTTGCGCATTAGAAGACACATACTTAGAATAGAAATGAAATAACTCAGTATATTTTGACTGATTTTTCTTTCGATTACAGTGAGCTTTCCAATCGAGAAAAATCAAACTGTATTTGAAGTTCTTATCCCAACGACGTGATTTAGAAGCAAGTAGAGATTTTTTGAAAGGCAAACGGTGAGATTAGCTCACCACCATCTAGGTAATGATGTTTATTGACCTATTTCATATTTTTAGATTACAACTGCTTCACATACAACACATGCTTATATAGGAGAGAACAAGAGAGAGAGAGAGAGAGCCATAAGCACTGGAAAGAACAATAGATAGAGCATACAGAGTAAAGAAGAAAGGAAGATCAGCAGAAGATAATACCAGTATTGACACATCTTTCCATTAAGATTAAACGTGGTTTTGAGCTTCTTTACAAAATAGAAATTCGAATAAGAAATAACAAACGAACAGTGACGAACAAAGAAAAAGTAACATGAATAAAGGACGATAAAAAAGAACAGAATACAATATTAATTTTCTCATATGAACTCAATTAATCAATGAAAAAATGATACGATCGATATTGAACAATGAAATTTGTAATAATTATTTCAATTACATTTTTTTAAATTCAGATGTGAGATCACTTTGATGACTTACATATTATCTAAAAAGAGTGGATGTGGGTGTGAAGAGAAGTGAAAAAAGTACGCATACACCTACACCCTTAGTGAAAGAATTCCTATATGAAGCGTAAAAACTGAAAAATTCAGTAATTGAAATATAATCTGTCTACAATACAGAAAGTATATCTCGCTCTATGCTGTGTAATGGATGAAATAGGTGTTTTCAAAAGAAGATATATGATATCTTCGATGGGTATTCCTGGAAACTCAATTAAGTACCAGCACAGGAGATATAGAAGAGACAGGTGTTATAGAGATATACCAGATATTGCCCGAACACACGCAACCACACCTTTTATCTTCAATATCTCCTATGCTAGTACTTAATTGAGTTTCCAAGGATATCCTGAAAAAACATCTAATCAAAGAAGATGACCAGTTTTGTCATAACATTCAAAAATTAAGTGTTTTATTACATGATAATAACTTCCGTGATAGAGAAGATGCATCATTTCTTTTTAATAATATGAAACATTTTTTATGTAATCTCTTCCGATATAAATTTTAACCATGAATTGTACATTTTTCTCTTGATAAAGTTAGAAAATCAGGCAAAAGTATAACAAAAAGTGATACAAACATGATGTTCGTACGCTCTTCAATTTAATCATCATATTTGCTTGTATGTTGAAGTTCAAAATCTATTGTTGTTGTTATTGTATATAATCA